TGAAAAAGAAAGAAATACTATATACAATGAATTTTACTATAAATCTCTTAATTCTAACAATTGTCTATAAATTAGAAAAAGTCAACATTATAACTCTGAAATTTGGAATGCTATTGCGCCGAAATATATCTACATTTTGGAAATTTAAACTGAAAATGTACAAACAGTGCGAAAAGATACTAATATGTATTTTTGAAACTTTGGTGGGTTGGTATATGAACTGCAGTATTTTTAGAAATGCAAATCTTAAAAAAAAGAGTACTCAATATTTTTAAGATTCTGTCCCAATTTTAAAGGTTGCTAACCCTTTAAATTCTGTTGTTCTATGGTGAGATTAGGACATAGTGTTATAGGATTTTCTCAGTCGAAAAAAATATTAATCTAAATTTGGAAGTGTTAGTCCTTCACGAAATAAGTATTGGTTTTCGAAATTCGAACTAAAAGGACACATTTGGAAGTGTTAATTCCTAGACGAGATAGGTATTGGTTGTCGATATTCGAACTAAAAGGACATTGTATTTGACGAAGGATTAAATATGGAATTCAGTAATTCGTAATGACAGCCATTATTGGGTCTCTATTGGTGTGCAGAGTGATAAAGCAAAGCTAGTTTTTATACCCTCCACATTGAAAAGGTTTGTAACATCTGTTCGTCGTAGACCGAATAATGTATATATACACATAATCAGCATAAAATTTTAAATCGATTTAACGATGTCCGTCTGTATGTCTTTCTGTTGAAATCAAGATACAGCCCAAATTTTTTGACATATAGCATAAAAATTTGACAGAAAAAAATGTATTGTCTTAATGATTGTTGGTATTGAAAATGAGATATATCGGTCCACGTTTTGGAATAGCCGCTATATAACGGCTTCACCCATTCCATTCTTATTGCTTCCCCCAACACCACATTTAGTGACAGTAAATATTATTCGTACAATTTTCGAAACAACCTCCATATCTCAATTCCAGATTCTAAGAGAGATCTCAATATCAAATGTCAGGATTTTAATACAATTATTGAGCGCATATCCAAAATCAGCTCATTCTCTTAACCATAGAAACCAAGGGTGACATCCATATCTAATTTTGGGATTCTAGCTATATCCCCTCCCAAATACCAAATTTACTTCTATTTACTTTTCGTACAATTGTAGTAAATACTTTTCGTACAATTGTAGTAAACATTTTAAAAACCACCTCCATTTCTCAATGGCAGTTACAACAGAGACCCCAATATAAAATTTCAGGATTTATGGTCTGCAATTTCCATCAATACAAATATACCCACAATATAATAATACCCTCATCCAAAACCATCTCCTTCTCTTAACAGTGACATCCATACCTAAATTCAAAATTCCAGCTTTATCCCCTAACCCAGTACCTTATTTGGTACAATTTAGTACTTTTCCAAGCCACCGCCAAATCAAAACAGGATACAATCAGTACTCTAAATATAAAATGTCAGAATTGTATCTCTATCCCTTCACCCAATACCAAATATTGTATAATTTAGTACTTTTCGTATATTTATAGTACACATTCCAGTAACCAACTCCATAAGACCAGGCTTCACACGAATAGCGGCCCTAATATCAACTTTCGGATTTCAAGCACTATTTGTTCCTTCAATACCAAATTAATCCAAATATTTTATTACTTATTGGCACTTTTAGTACATCTTTCCAAAACCACATAACAACAAGAGGGAGCCCAATGCAAAATTTCAGCGTCATCCGTTCACCCTTAACCAATCTTTTCAAAATTTAGTACCATTTAGAATAGCTCGCACAGATAGTACACATTTCTGAAACCACCTTCATGTATCAAACTTACTTTCTAAGCTTGATTCTCACACCAAATTTAAAGTGGTATGGTAATGGTACCATTATAGAAGTTTAGTACTATTTTAGAAGTTTTCGTAATCTTTAATCGCCAATTTCCAAAAACCCTTTGGTATATCTAACCTGCACTTCATCAGTCACACTCATTCAAAATTTCAAAATTCCAACCCCATCGGTTAACCACAATTTCAATTTGTACCAAATGCAGAACCATTTAATACAAATGATTACGAATTTCCAAAGCTTCCTACTCCAATCCTAATCAATTCCATTTTTTTTAATTCCGCCCCTGTTGGTTCGCCCAAATACAATTTGTACTTTACTTAGTACATATAAGTACGAATATCTAAAACTACCTATATATTCCAATCTTATACTCAGATAGATATCTTATTTAAAATGTTAAGGATTCAGGCTCTATTGGTTTACCCAAATCTAAATTGTACTAAATTTAGTACAATTTACTAAACTTGAGTACAAATTTACATAACTATCTACATCATACAGTCTTATTTTCAAATTTCAGGATTCCAACTCTACTGGGACTCCCAAAATATAGATTGAACCAGATTTACTAGCATTTAGTATACATTAGCACGATTTTCTAAAACTACCTATATATCTCAGTCCTAGAATGCAATAGTTATTGTATTTCCAAATTTCAGATTTCCAACCCTATTGGTTCTCCCAAAATTTAAGTTATATCAATTGTATTTATTACTATTTAGTACACATAAATACAACTTTCCAAAACTACCTATATTTCTAAGTCCTAGACTGCAATAGTAATCTTGTTTTTAAATTTAAGGATTCCCCAAAATTTAAATTGTACTAAATTTAGTACCATTTAGTACTTTTCATACACATAACTAGAACTTTCGAAAACTTCCTCCGTATCCCAATCCTACACTTTGTCAAATTACACTACAAGTAGTACCGTTATGACTTTTCGTATTTATGACTACACATTTCCAAAACTACCTCCTTACATCGACTCTACTCCTCAACCTTGATTCCCATTTGATATTAAATGGCTCCAAATTTCATATATTTAAATACTTTTCTTACACTTATAGTGAAAATTTCCAAAAACCCTCTGTACATCTATCATACACTCCATCGGTGACCCTCATTCGAAATTTAAGAGTTATAGCTCTACAGCCTCCTCAAATACAAATGGTACCATATGTAGTATCTATGAATGTTTTAGTACCGTTCTATTTAGAATTTTCAAAAACTCAGCCTTATCTGGCCCCATCGGACCATGAGTGACCCTCTCCCATAATTTCAAGAATTCATTGCTTACTTTAATTAAGTCTTTTATAAATATAGATGGATTGTAAAAAGTTTAACTTTCCATCACGTTTTCGTATAGACTACATAAAACATTACCTGAAAATATCCGATATTTTGTATTATTCGATATTTGGATATCGTAGTAGGTTCTTCATCCTGTGGCAAAATATGATCAATATAGGTCGACGTTTCCCTATACATACTAGTACTGTGAATTTTAATGATTCAAGGCATTATATGTTTCAACGGAACTATTTCAAATTTGGTGTTTGATCTTGACAATAGAAATCTTAAAAAGCAAATACTGGACCCATAAAGAAACTTTTTGTTGGCGGAAATTGCACTTATTTAGAACCTGCAATGTAAAATTGTATCTGTTTCAGGTGAATTTTTATACCCTCCACCTTGTAAAGGAGGGTATATTAACTTTGTCATTCCGTTTATAACATCCTTAAATATTCGCCGTAGACCCCATAAAGTATATATATTCATAATCAGCATAAAATTCTGAGTCGATTTAACGATGTCCATTTGTTGAAATCACGATACAGCCCACATTATTTGACGTAGAGCGCCAAAATTTAGCGGAGCTATTTGTATTGTATCTAGGATGGTTGGTATTAGGTCCACGTTTTGGTATAGCCCCCATATAAAGGTACCTCCCGATATTCAATATTTTAATTTTTTTTGGCACATTTTTTCACGGATTTGTCTAAAAATTGGTATTTGTTGGTCATAATGGGTTCCAGCTCCGGTGGCGAAATATTGCATGTATGGGTCCATGATTTGGTATAGCCCCCATATAACAGTACCTCCCAATATTCGGTATTTTGATGGTCTTTGCCACATTTTTTCACTGATTTGTCTAAAAATTGGTATTTGTGGGTCATAATGGGTTCTAGTTCGTGTGGCGGAACATCGTATGTATAGGTCCAGGTTTTGATATAGTCCCCATATAACGGTACCTCCCAATATTCAGTATTTTAATGATTTTTGACACATTCTTTCAAGAATTACTCTGAAAATTGGTAGTTGTAGATCATAATGGTTCCCAGTTCGTGTGGCGAGTCATTGTAATTATAGGTCCACGTTTTGGTATAGCCCCCTTATAACGGTACCTCCCAACATTCGGTAATTTTATGATTTTTGCCACATTTTTTCACGGATTTGTCTGAAAATTGGTATTTGTAGCCATAATGGGTTCTAGCTCCGTTGGCGAAACATTGTATGTCCATGATTTGATATAGCCCCCATATAACGGTACCTCCCGATATTCGGTATTTTGGTGGTTTTCGGCACAATTCTTCTAATGTTTCCTTTACCCTAAGGTGGAGGGTGTTAAAAGTTTGGCCCGACCGAACTTAATATTTTTTTTACTTGTTATTTTATCGGTGTACTATATTTTTTGATACTGTGAATTTTGAAAATTGGACGACTTTTTCTTTAGATAAAAAAGTAAATGTTACGGCTAATGTTTCAGGATTTACATACCAGTACCACAGTACGATATGTTACAAGCAGTTGAGTGTTTATCACCAAGAAATTTATCCATTAATCATACAATTTTGTTTCTGACATTTATTCATTGTCACTCAAGCATTTACAATTTTTCAATACTGCTTCCCTTTCCGCCCACTGTCCTTTTTGGAACTTTTGACCAACGCCGTTATAGGGCAGCCTGTCAGTGTTGGTGTTGTGCTTGGTTGGTTGCCTGAAATGTGTCTGTTTTCGCAACGGGAGTTTGCCACAACACTGAACTGGATTTATATGTGTGAGGGGAATACATGTGTATGTGTGTGCGTGTATCTGTGTTACAATAGAGAAAATTGACTTTTCATTGCTTGGTATACTTACATCCACTGATAAACCGTTCGCCGCCGTTGATGTTGAGAATATTTTCCATGCCGGATTCTCTTTTGGCGTGTAGCGATAAAACTCACGACGTCCACGATACCATTTAACCGTGTAGAGAGTGTCATTTTCAATGTCGTAATTACAGATTAAAATCGCATTATCACCACGTTTAACAGCCAACGGTATGGTTACGCTGACATTACGCAAAGCCAATGTGAAATCTACAAAAATTGAAAAAAAAAGAGAGCGAGAGAGAAAAACACACACACAAACATTATTACTTTAAAGTGTATTGCGAAAAAAAAAACACAAAAATTATGTTTAAGAAAAATTAATGATAAATTATTACGTATACGTATTATGAGGATACAAGGACATCAGCAACAAACATTGTCATTAATATCAATGGCCTAGCATCAGTACGGTACGGTAGAGTACAGCAAACAACAGCTAGCAAAATGTTACGTATACTAACCATTTTTTATCGCAAGTATAACAGTATGCTGAGCAAATGACCGGCCAACAATTCACTCAGTCAAGGCAGTTTGCCAGGCTAAGCTGGCCGGAGTTAAGAAATCAGCCAGCATATCAGTTTTAAACAGTTTTTTTCCACTTTAAATCCCACCCACTGGGCCACTGCCGGAATGACTTGACGGCATAACCTTTTCCCCATTTACAAGTGTTGGCCGAACGTAACGAGGTGTTAATCGCCAAAGGACTCAACATATGTTGTTAAGAGTCAATAAAGGTTATTTGTTTTTTTTTTTGCCGTTGCTTGTCCCGGCTCTGTCAGCCTGCCATGTCCTTCTGATATTCATTGAAAAGTTATTGATTTTTTGTTAATCCCTCAACGATTTTTATGGCTTAAAAATGAGCAGTAAAATGGAAAATCTTTTAATGTGCTCATGTCTCTTTTTATTGGTCAAGGAGGAAAGGTAAAGGATGCATTTAATGCATTAAATTCTTGCATAAGGATGTTATGGAAGAAGTGGGCTTTAAAGTGAATTTTTTCCTTTAATTGAGAGGATTTGATGTTATGTGAAAAGGAATTTGCACAGAGCTGAAAAAATATTGTTGCAAAAGTCAAGAATGCTAAAGATTGGTCATTGCAATGGTCATTCGCATAAAGAGGATTGAAATCAATCTCTCCTTATAAGATTTCCTGGGAAACTGTATTTATACAACAAAAATGTTTAAGAACTTTACTGTCTCTAGGAAGGATTCCTTTTTTTATAAAGGACAATAGATATTAAAGCATTTGACAGTCATATTAAAGGTCCCTTTTGAACTTAGCACTAACTTCATGTCTGCCTTCTATAGAAGGCCTATGAAAATCAATGGGCTCATGTGAATTTGTCCTCGAACATAGAGGAGGACCTTAAAAATTGTTTTGTTTTCCACAGATGAAAAGTTTAAGAATCTTAACTTATCCATAGTAAAAATTTTAAACAATTTTATACCCTCTACCTTGGAAAGGAGGATATATGAACTTTGTCATTCCGTTTGTAACATCCCTAAATATTCGTCGAAGACCCCATAAAGTATAATCGGCATAAAATTCTATGTCGATTTAACGATATTCCCGATATTCGGTATATGTCCACGTTTTTGTATATCCCTATATAGCGGTACCTCCCGATATTCGGTATTTTGATGGTTTTTACAACATTTTCCCACGAGTATGTCTAAAAATAGGCATTTGTGGGTCATAATTGGTTTTTATGTTTTATTTACCCTATAGTGGAGGGTATTGCAAGTTCGGCCCGGCCGAAATTAATGTCTTTTTACTTGTTTTTATTTAAGGAGTCCTATTTCTATAGAAGCCTTGCAAGGGAATAACTTTTCCTAAAGGGTCGCTGAATGAGAGACATGTAACCTGCTAAAACATTGCGGAAAATATTATTATCTGAATGAGGACTGCAAAGAAGTTATTATTTAAAAGACGAAATCCCACAAGACCCAATGGTGAATGGTTATTTCTTCAATAAAGAAGTTGATCAATATAAACTTCCCTCTCCCCGGGATAAGAGTCCGGTTGGCTGAAGCCGTGTACGTAGCCCAAACCAATTATATGTACTACCTGCAAAAATTAATTCCATACATTAGGAATATAAATATTGGAACCAACGAAACTAAAATGAAACCAGTGAAGAAAGGTCAAAAGTCGGACGGGGCCTACTATATGATACCCTACACTACTATGCGTATTTAGTAGAACTCCCGTAACAAAAAAGTTTATGTTGGGAATTTATGTGAAGTAGATCATACACACTATGAACCAAATAACATTGCTGATGTGACTACGATGAGGATTATATTAAAAATATTAATTGGAGCAAAAGATATACCGGACCGAGTTTCACCGAGTTGGTAAAATTCGTTTGAATATGAAAAAATCTATCCAATTTGGGATGCCATTGTATATATTGTGAGCTTATTGCTCATAAATCGTAAATCTGATGAAGATATATATCGAAGCTACATAAAAATCTTAGACGATCTCGATAAAATTTGCAGAGCTATTTTCGAGCAATAGCTTATGACCTGTATCAAATATCATTGTTGTAGTGTGATATTACGCATGTTAGGGACTTTAACACCAAATCGGACAAAACATTTGGAAGCTATAGCTTAATTTCAACCGATTTTCTCTATATTTGAAGCACGTATTTTTAGGGTGAATTCAGTCGGATTTGCTGATATTTCGCATTTGGCCTGATATTAGCCATTTGGTCCAGAAAAAAACCTGAAATCGGATAAAGATATATCTATATCCAAATCTGAACTGAATTAAAATCCCAAATCGGATGAAACATATATGTGGGAGCTTTGTCTATGTCTGAACGATTTTCTTCAAATTTTATGCGCTTTCTTCCAAGCTGAATTCGTTTATATGTGCCAAAATCCATTTAATTCGGGCTCATACAAACCATTTGGTGTCCAATGAACTTAAAGGTATATATGGGAGCTATATCCAAATCTGAACCGATTTCGATAACATTCGGAAAAGGTATTTCCTAGTTGTATTTGATATATTTCCCCGAATATTGTTGTTACAGCTGTGGAGGTTAAAAAAAACAAATCGGATGAAAAATATACATGGGAGCTATAGCTATATCCAAACCGATTTTCACCAATTTTGACATACTAATTTCTAGGCTTAGCGCGAGCCAAATTTGTCCAATTTGGCCTAATATTACACATTGTGTTCGCAATAAAAGTCGAATCGGACGATGGGAACTATATCTAAATTTTGATCAATTATCTCCAATTTCAATAGGGTTCTTGGGCCAAACAAATGAATTGTGCTTTGTTTACGAAAACACATGGACGAACGGACATCTTGAAACTTTGTTTAGTAGTTCAAGTTCAGCCGGGCCGAAATTTTAATACCCTCCATCTTTAGGTTAAGAAAACATTTTATATAAAAGTATCTGAATTCAAACGCGTTCCACTTTAAACTACATATACCAGTAAGACCATTTGGATAATGCTGTTAAACTTTTTAAAAAAAACATTAAGTGGCTGAGGCCGTTGTATGGGGACCATACCAGAACGGGAACCTTTACAGACAAGGTTATAGTTTAAGGATTGTTATTTTATTTGTAATACCAAATTTGTAACAATGTCGTGGGTAAATATGACTAGAATTATCAAAATACTGAATAACGGTGGGTATCGTTATATGCGCGCTATAGGAAAACGTCGACCTAAATATTCAATGTTCTGCCGTCGGAAAAATGTGGGAAAAATTATATAAATACAGAACATCGGAAGGTACCGTTATATGGGGGTTATACCAAAACGTGGACCTATATATACTTTATTCCGCCACCGGAGCTAGAACCCCTTGCGAACTACAAATACCAATTTTTAGACAAGTCCGTGAAAAAATGTGGCAAAATCATAAAAAATACCGAATATCGATAGGTACCGTTATATGCGGGCTATACAAAACGTGGACCTATAAATACATGATTTCGCCCCCGGAGATATAACCCATTATGACATACAAATATCAATTTTTAGACAAATCGGTGGAAATATGTGGCACAAATCATCAAAACACCGTTTATCGGGAGGTACCATTATGTGGGGGCCAATCAAAAACGTGCACCTATACATACAATGTTCCGCCACCGGAGCTAGGACCCCTTACAAACTACAAATAGCAATTTTTGGACAAATCCGTCAAAAAAAAAATGTGGCAAAAATCATCAAAATACCGGATATCGGAAGTTACCGTTATATGGGGGCTATACAAAAACGAAACCTATACATATAATGTTTCGCCACCGGAGCTGGTACGCATTATGACTTACAAATACAATTTTTTAGACAAATCCGTGAAAAAAATGGCGAACATTTTCAAAATACCGTTTTGGTATGGCCCCCATATAACGGTACCTCCCGTTATATGGGGGCCATACCAAAACGTAGACCGATAGTAGACCGTAGATCTTATATTCAATACCAACCATCCTAGATATAACAACAATTATTTGGCAAATTTTGAAGCTCTACGTCAAATAATGTGGACTGTTTCGTGATTTCAACAGGCAGACGGACATTGTTGAATTGACTTAGACAAGTATTTAGTAAGGTTAAAAACGGAATGACAAAGTTAATATACCCTGCCTTTTAAGGTGGAGGGTATTAAAATAAATGGTAAATAAATATAATTCTCTAGTATTATAATATTGCATTAAATATTGATTTTAGAACAAGTGAGCAAAGGCTATAGGCTTGCTGAGCCGACCATGTGATACCACTTATGTCCAAATCCATTTTGGAAGATTTTGATTTTGAAATTATGTGACGGATATTTGGATTGATATTAACACAATATTTATGCCCTCCGACGTGCTGATAGTTGTTGTTGCCCATTTTACAGCAAAATTTTACAACTATAAATCGTCTCAGTCCTTAACTCTTTTCTCGGGCAAAATTCTGTGTCGATTGGCTTTAATTGTGCGATCAGGAAATTTTTTCTGGTTGTTGTTTATTTGAACTTCTAAATATTTTGCGATCATCTCCAAAAGCAAGAGGACCCTCTGTATCCCCAAAATTGGATTATGATTATGATATGATTAGCTTATTTACGACATTTGGCTATATTCGTCAACAAAATCTGCGTAAAAAGTCAGAATTTCGCCTTTTGTGTATTTCGGACACCGCCTGTAAGTAATGTTGGTATTTTTTCATACAAAAGTAGCGGTCC